GAAACAATTTTCCTCCCATTTTACAATTGAAATTCTTGCTATCTTAAAAAGGTTACAAAACTTTATCATATTTCTAACCAAGATCATAAAATACCACTTCACTTGGGAACTATTTCACTCACTTTCCTCCAAGCTAAATATTTTTGGATGTGCTGACAATTCAATGTACCTTTTAATATCCTTAAAAAAATGTTAATCACGTTTAAAATTTTGAGCAACACTTCTTCCAAATTCATCCAGATGTGTTTGCAAGAAAATTATATGACTCCCAAGTAAAGATTTCCTCAAATATATATCTGGCAGTGAGTATTTGCCTAAGTAGGAAGTACAACATGGACTTGAAGTGAAAAGTTTAACTTGATCACATGATACACTTCTGTCACTTAAATCACATAGTGGCACCATCATTATTAGTCTTAGGTTAATTGTAATAAACTTGTTATCAAATGTATAGAAAAAGAAAAAGAAAATATTCTTGCTATGAATGGACTTGACTTCTTTAGTTATTCTAAAACATTTACTATGATATAGCTGCTGGTCCTAAAGTAAGTACATCAAAACAGGTCTGACAGACTCGAACCGGCTTGTTCAACGAAAATTTGAGGATGGGTACATCCTTATCCGAGCATCTGCTACAGAGGAGTCGGCCGCAGTGTCGGCAGTGGTGCTTCCTTGTAGCCAGGCCAAACTTGGTCCCACATTCCATGCAGAGTTCTCCTTCACTCCATGGAGGCTCAGCTGATAGCACGTCCAGGAGTCTAAACAGCAGTGCTTTGGTTGGCACCTGCGATTTGTAAGAAAAGTAAGTAAATGAATGCACCCAATGCATGTGCTTTTTATTTTGATTCACCACACTTTTACTTTCTGAAAAGAATATTAGCCTTTGGTGATTATTTTCTTTTACAGCATATATTCAAACTACTCTTAATGAACACTCAGTCTATTTGAAAATTAGGGTATGCTATAACTGAGCATGAGACTGGTATCACTTCACTTTGAAAATCCTTCTTGCACTCCAATTTAAGGTTAACAAAATGTTTAGAACTCCATCCACTGAAGAGAGAAAGTATATCACAATACATTATTACTAAAACTTCTCTCATCAATATTTGTGGCTGATGCTTTACGAAGTGTAAACTATTATTCACATCTGACCATTCGTAAAGAAATGTAAGAACAACAATGCATATATTAAGTACAAAATCAAATAATCCTTCACTCCATAATGAAAAGAAAAACAAAACAAAAAACAATCATAAATACCTGATAATTGAATATGTTAACACCATGCTTATTTGTTGAGCCCAGGCATGCTCCCGACCGTACTAATACTCGGCAAAGCTGACCCGCACCTCGCATGTAAGCCAGTAATAGAGCTGTAGAAAATGATAAATAAATAAAAATAATTATACCTGGAAAAATGACAGGGAATTCACACAGTTCCACAAATTGACAGACAGGTAGAGAGTTAAATTATATAAGTAGATAAGTAGATTCAAGGATACTATATAAAAATAGATAAAGGATTAACAATGAGAAATTATATATATTCCCTCACAATTTAACTTGATTTGTAAAAGCTGAGCCTAACCACCCAACAATATGAACTAAATACGTAGAGTATCTTTTGTTTGACTGCATTATCAATCTGCATCACAAATTTACTGTACAAACTAATTTTTCTAGCTTGTATTCCTATTTAATTAATTCATATCCTTTCTTCCAGTTATCCTTTGAAAAATTCTTCCACGCTTTTTTCATCCTCATAAATCCCTTAAACATTCTGCACTAATAAGGATTTTTATGAGGACAATTATCTAAAAATTCCCAAAAGGCAAAAATGTAGATATTTGCACAAAAAATTGCACATTTCCACAACCATCATTATCAGGTATCACTATCAACACCTACTAATATTAATAAAATGAGCTATATTTAAAACCACTTTCAAAATCTTTATCAATCAAGAACAAGAGAAGTGAAAAACGAAAAGAGATGAAAAGGGAAAGCTAATCCTAAAAGACACTCAAACGCATTACAAACAATAAAAATAACAACAATTATAAACAAACTGATAAATAAATATATATAAGTAAATTCAAACAACCATTTGATACTCACCCGAGTTTCCCTCGACATCTACCCTGTTGAGGTCATAATCCGGCATCGTCTCCAAGAACATCTCCGCTATGGCTGCTGCATTGTCTTTTGGGTAATTGGCAAGGACGTGGAGCGGGTTCTGACCACGGAGATTCACTGCCTCTGCGTTGATCCTTGATTCAGTTAATAGCACTCTTACGACAGACAGATGGCCTTCCTGTAAAAATATATATTTATGTATTATCAGGAGATGAGAAAGTGAAATCTTCATTTATATCTTCTCACATATAAAGCCTCATGAGAGAATATCAATAACTATTTACCTTGACTGCAACATGAAGTGCATTGTTGTGATTGTCATCTACTGCATCAAAACGAACTCCGTTCTCTAAGAAGATGGAGACAAGATGGGGATGGTCATTTGCTGCTGCCAGATGAAGAACTGTCTGCTTCTGCGGTGTTAACTCATTGATTGCTCCACCTCCAGCCAGTAAAAGATTTCTAACAATCATCTCTGACCTGAAATTTGATCACTAATTAAACCCATATATTTGCAATCTTTTTCCATCTCTCCTGGAAGTATTCCAAATCAATAGCACATTTACACTTTTTCACAATTCATCAAATTTCCCAACCAAACTTTCATCTTTCACAACAAAAATATCAAACATACTAAGAAAATCCTACAGACCCTGAGAGTGTAGCCAGATGCAGGGGTGTGAGAGACAACTGGTCTTGTGTCCTGGTGTGCATGTCAACGTGAATACTCAGGAGGAAGAGTACACTCTCCATGTCCTTCTTCTGAATGGCTACGTGCAAGAAATTGTGGCCCTTGTGATCATACTGCAAATCACAATTCATATTAATCAAAGCACAGAGAACAATCTACTGATCTAGAACGGAACAAACTTTCTCAGGTAATAAATTTTCAAGATATCAAATTTTCACAACTGAACATACTAAATGTCCTTTTATGTAAGCTTTGTGATTATCGAACAGAGATTATCTAATAGTTTTCTTTCTTTTCAACTGTTTTCTTTAAGATTTAAAATAACAAAAGATTCTGGAAGATTTACAGACAACATGCAAACGTGAATTTATAAAACCTGGGAAAAAGACCTACTGCAAATGTATACACACTTCAAATTCGTCATCTACAACATATAATGTAGCATACCATAGTTAAAAAAAAAAACTTACCTGTTCCGCAGCCTTAGGTTCCCGGCTCAGAATAGCCTGGGCAGCCTTGTTGTTCTTTCTCGACATGGCAGCAGCGAATGGAGTGATGCCAGATTTGTCTCGTAGGGAAAGATCCAAGGCAGGATGGGACAGCAACAGGGAAATAATGGGATTGTGACCATTTTCAATGGCATGATGCAAGGGAGTCTTATTTTCAGCATCCTTTATAAATTGAGTGAGAGAAAAAAGAAGTGTAAGTAACATCCAATCTCAATTCAGGTGATCTTAATACATTTAGATATAAGATCATTTTATACAAGAAATTATGAAAGCTGAAATTTTAGGTATGTCATATAGATAAAAGCTGTCAATCCAGTTGATAATATGGATTCACTTACTAAACAAACAAAAATGTTGAACTTTTATGTTTTTTAAATCCTTAATTTTGAGCCCAAGACCACAGGATATTTTCAATATTTCTTCAACAAAATTAATGAATTAATGAGAAACCATTCATCTTAGAGAATTTATCAAGTGAAAAGAAAAACCAAATCACATATCAAAAATACTAATCTATAAGGTATATTACCATTGCCACATCCATATCACATCACTGACATCAAAATCTCAAATTATCCCAGAAGCACTAGTAATGAAGCATTTTTCACCTAAAATTTCTATATCCCACATTTATATTTACTGCCATCAAATCACCACCTAGTGGGTAAGCAATGAAACCTACCCTTGCGTTGACTTTCGCTCCATGCTCGAGCAGAGTCTGCACTGTATTTTCTAACCCCCAAGAGCAACATAGGTGAAGGGGCGTCATCTGATCTGTTGCTGCATCACCGCCACCACCACCCGGCCCTGGTTTCCTCACCGCATTGACATCACATCCACTTCTCACCAAGAAACAAGCAATGTCTTCTCGGTTCTCATCTAAAAAGGTGATTTTAAATCATGTTTTTTTATATGCAATGGTTAAAAACTTTTTTAAAAATTAAACTTGCAAAACACAAGCATCCATACACAAATACACACAAAAATACAAAACCATACATATTAATAACATAAAAACACATACAAAAAGAGACAAACAAAAAACACAAACAAATAAAAATAATATAAAAGTTAAGCAGATCTTCAAGCTATAGGAAAACATTCAGATAAAAGTCTACTTGACAGTGACGTATCTACATGATTTTATTTTTTCTATTCTTACCTATAGCCTTGTGTAGCAAAGTTTGTAGGCATCCTTCTGGACCTTCAGCCCAGCCATCTGTGTCAACATGGTACCTGCAATGGGGCACATTTTTACCACTACATTTCTGTGAATTCACAAGAAAATGTATCCTTGATTCATTTAAGTAATCAGCTCAATAATCAATCCCTAGAAATATGCTAACATGCATAACCTAAGCCCTACTCAGACTCCCTCAAATCAGAATGAACCCACATCATTGCATCACTCCTGAGATACTAGCATTAAATCCACACCCACATTAAGCCACTGGATCCAGGTGCCTTGTAGACCAAAATCCAGGTATCTGATTTACTTGAGTGGTGATTCTCCCAGGTGTGTGGCTTATTGAAACCAGCCCACACGAGCACCCACATGTAGTATCAACACTCATTGCCTCCTCTCTCTCATTCACTGCATACAATTTTTTTGCTTTTTTACCATTCTCCAAGGTCTACATCTGTCATTTATTATGCAGTTCCAAGATGGTAATACACTGTTTCCACTGAACAGACTTCATATTATCTCTGTGCAATAGCAATAACAATAGATAACATTGTGTTATCTGTCTCATTTTATATAGTTTCATATCATTCACTTTTCTGTAACACACCCTGCAATGCTGGTTACAATTAGCAGGAACAAGATCCTGAGCATGGAAACAGTGTTCTGCCTGGAGCTAGCACTCTTCCAGGCACAGCTCACTGATGGTACACTCCACTCTTGTACACAGGTGCTAGAGTCTAATCTTCCTTCAAGAGCTTTGTGCACTCATGTTGAGTCGTACCTGACACCTCTCCCTTAACCAAATGTTTTAATAATTCCCTTCACCCCAGTCCTTGGCCAAATTTTTTTTAAGATGGAACATTCCCATCATCCAGCCTTTAGCCTAATCTTTTAACAGCATGAAGGTCACCTCACACAAATCCAATGGGTTAAACAGCCATGAACATACTGTACTAGTGTGGAAGCAATGTCCTCTTGCTTTGAGTCCAGAGCCTGCCACAGAGGAGGTTCGGGGGAGTTGGGATGGGAGTTGTGGTCTGCTCCTTTGCCACACAGGAGTCCAACCACGGCACCTAGGCTCTCACTGATGCAGAGCTGCAGTGGAGACTCTCCGTCACGAGTCCTGGTAAGTAACATTAAGGGAGCTTTACAAATCTGTCATGCATGCATACTTATCATATAAATGGAAACATCCCTGTTTTGAAACAGAAAGAAATAAGAAAGGATGATCAATCCCCTTTTACAAATAAATGTCCCATAAATCACACACTCAAAATCTAAAACTCTTAGCCATAAAACAGGTATGGGGGAACTACAAGGAAGAAAACACACCTCAGGTTAACATCAGCACCATTATTGATTAGGAAGGTGGCCACTTGTACTTCCTTGACTTGAATGGCCATGTGGAGAAGGCCGTATCCCTGGGAATCTGTTGTGTTGATATCAGCCCCAGCTTCCAGCAGCTGCTTTGCCACATTGATCTGGCCTGTTCCCAGAGCCACTCCAAGGGGAGTCAGATCATCCGAGTCACGCAAGTTCAAGTCAGGCATCACTATTGAATCCACTTTGTTGCTTTCACAGTATTCTGAAGAAGTTATGCAGAGAAACGTTATAAGTTGAAGTTAAATAGAAGTGTACAAGCATCATATTATCTTTATCATCATATCATATTTTCTTCTGGAAGTTCTCTAAAATAACCACAAAGCTATTGCCTATCTTTATTTACAATATCAATTGTTTTTAACTCTCAACATATTATAAAATTTAAACAAATACATAAAAATAAAATGAGAAAAACCTGAACAAGAGAGAAAAATACGAAGAAAAAAAACAAACAACAGACTTCAGATTTACCAACAATAGATGAAGCCGCACCTTTATGATCTAAAATCGCCCTAATGTCATCTTCATTCTTATTCTTGATGGCTCGGTGCAAGGGAGTTTCGCGGAAGGTTAAGCTGGAAGTGGGAGACTCCTCGGTTTCCTCCGCAAATGGGTCATTGGCATCAATTGGAGTGCCAGCCGGTGAAGAGGAATAGGTCTGAAGATTGGGATTTGCTCCAATCTGTGAAGGTTTGAGAAGGATTATGAAATGCTTTCCTCTTTTATTTACACAGAAATAAACTTATGATCTACTTTTCCAACATTTCAGTAGGAATGCTTCATAAGTTTTTTTGTTTCTCTTATGCTAATAATCACACACTAGACAATATAAATTCATCATATTGATAAGTAATAAATTCAACAAATCTAATCTGATGCAATGTGATTACCCCCCCCCCCATACACACACACACACACACTCAGATATACAACATTACCTGTAGTAAAGCAGTTGTGAGCGAAGGAAGACCAACGGTGCAAGAGACATGGAGTGGAGTCTCACCATCGGCATTCACGACATTACAACTGGCACCCTGGGTTGTGAGGAACAAACCAGCTTCTTCCATGCCATCTCGTGCCACCAGGTGTAGCAGGGACTCCCCACTCGAACCAATCACCTGAACAAGAGGCAAAAGGAGACCTTTATATTATACACAAATTGTAACAGATTCCCAACATAATAAAACATAGACAAAGTGGCACTATCCACTTCAAAAAGTTATTTAATCCATAAAAGAAAATGGTTAGAATTACAACTGACATACATTCACTATTTCAGACAGAAGGAAAAAAAATGCTTTAATCTTATACACATCGGTATACATCAGCTACACTACAAAATTAACACACTTATCCTAATAACTATCATATATCCAACATCAACTGCAAGTTTTAAGCCACACACTGTATGAACTCTTGACATCAGGAATGACCAATACAACCACATTCATAACTGCACAAGGTTACATTAACTGATTGAGGGAAGAAAACACCTTTTCAAAATCCTCTTATTATAAACAAGAAATGGCAAGACCTTTTATTTTCCTAATCTTCAAACCTTCTCTCTCTTTCTTAATGTGCAATAAATGAAATTTCATGCTATCCTTACAGTTGAATGATTATTTGAGGATAAGATCATTCCTTACAGTAATTTCATGGAAGAACAATAAAGGGTAAGCCAATTACAATTTGATATTAACCATCAAGACAGTATGTCACAATGCAAGCTATTAGAATCTCTGGGCCTTTACGAGGTTTTGGCAGAGGTTCACTACAAATATTCAGCAATTCTGTTTTGTTGATATTTGTTCAATCTTCAATATCACATGTTCAATCTTTATTATCAAAGATTTATTCAGAAAGTACCACTGATATTACAGATGCCAATGATCTGAGGTAATGGTGCGAATTGTTGATATTTGTTGAAATCTGTGCGGTGTCCTTGTTCACATTAGTGAAATAGTGGAATGAAACATAAAACACGAAAATAAGACCAATTCTATAAATCTATGGTAACATTAAACTTTCCAAAGAATCATAACTTTTGGAGGACCAGATTAAAAAGTTTACATCCAAGATCATATCCATTTTCATCAGTTTAAAACAAAAAATAATTTTATATATCTGTCATTTGACATCTGACACCAATTTTACATGTACTGCTACAGAATTAGTTGTTCAATGAAGACTGATTCAAAGAAGAGTAAACAGCACAATTTCTATTAAGAAAATGAAAAAAGAACTTGGAGAAAATCTTCAACTGTGATGCACAAAAAAGGGATGAAAAATATAACTTTTGAAAGGCTACTTTGAGTATGAATAACAACAACCAAGTGAAACAGTTCAAAGCTAAGGGAATTACTGTAACATAAGTGTACAGGAAATGACAGACAAGATTCGAAAAATATATAATGAATAAATGGCACCCTACATGGCTTGAAATTAAAGAATAATATTACCTTACTGATGCCAGGAGTGCAGGTATATATGTACTGTCAACTGTGGCTTTGTTCTAAATTTTCTTATACATGCATGGCTCTCCTAAGCCTACCTGACCTTACCGGTTTACCCACTCATTTCACTTTAGAGAAAGAAGTTTTTTTATTACTACCATAATCGTTATTAAAAACAATGATAATGATGATTCTGCTGCTGATGAAAAATATTAATGATAATAATAATCATGTTGAGTGATGATTATGATGATGATAGTAAGAAATAATTTTTTTCAAAAAATATATGGAATAAGGTGAACTGCTGAGGTCAAATAAGCTTTGTAATCGACTCCCTGGCAACAGAGCAATTGTGAAGCTGTTTGTGCATATGTAAAGTGAAAACACAGCGGACAGTGCTAGGATGAATACTTTTATTCCAGCCTCTTGCTTAAAAATACAATCACAGTATGTGCATTACAACCAAAAACTTTGTGTTAACACAGCTTTCACAAAAGCCAAGTTCATAGAATAAACAATGATATAATAGTGTAAGTAAAAAGGGTATTTTATGTGTGATCCAAACCATCAAAATTCACAAGGTAAGCCATCTTACCTTCGTGAACCTCGAGGGAAACGTACATCCTGTGATCTTAGCATGCGGGTTAAGAATGAACACTAGTCAAGAGCGAACAACTTGTTCGATGTAAACTTCATCTTTATTGTACATCTGCTGGAGATTTACAGATAACATGGCAAGGAGTTTAAGAGTGAACTTAAGATGTCTAATTAAATCATATAACTTTCACAATAAAATGACAAAAAATATATGAAGAATTTCACAAATGGGGAAGGAGGAGGATGGGGGCTGCTCTAGGTGCTCTGTGTGCTAGCACTTGCTTTTATCATAAGCACCCACACTCACAAACACACACCAATACACCCACAGCCACCTCACTCACTCACTCATTCACCCACCTATCCACCCACCCACCAACCCACCCAAACACCCACACACCCATCCACCCATCCACCCACCACACACAAACACACAAACACACAAACACACACACACACACACACACACACACACACACACACACACACACACACACACACACACACACACACACACACACACGCACACGCACACGCACACGCACACGCACACGCACACACACACGCACACCACACACACACACACACACACACACACACACACACACACACACACACACAGGCACTCAAATACACTCATACTTATATGCACATGCACACACACACAAACTTGTATGTATATGAATGCATATAAGAACAGATGCACATGCATGATTTGTATATATATGCATCATTCAGAAGTAAATATGTACACATACAGTTTGTAAGTACGTTTAAATATATGTATGTATGTACATATATGCCCATTTATGTGTTTATATGCAAACATATACATGTATGTATATATGTATACATATGTAAGTGTATGTGTGTGTTTGTGCATTTGTCTGTATGTGTATGTGCATCTGTGTATGTGTGTATGTGTATGTGTGTGTATATGTATGTGTGTGTATGTGTGTATATGTATGTGTGTGTATGTATGTGTGTGTATGTGTGTCTGTGTATGTGTGTATGAGTGTGCATGTGTTTATGTGTTTATGTGTCTGTGCATATGTGTGTGTGTATGCATGTGTGTCTGTGTCTGTGTGTATGTGTGTATATATGTGTATGTGTGTATGTGTGTATGTATGTGTGTGTGTGTGTGTGTGTGTGTGTGTGTGTGTGTGTGTGTGTGTGTGTGTGTGTGTGTGTGTGTGTGTGTGTGTGTGTGTGTGTGTGTGTGTGTGTGTATGTGTGTGTGTGGTGTGTGTGTGTGTGTGTGTGTGTGTGTGTGTGTGTGTGTGTGTGTTGTGTGTGTGTGTGTGTGTGTGTGTGTGTGTGTGTGTGTGTGTGTGTGTGTGTGTGTGTATGTGTATGTGTGTATGTGTGTATGTGTGTGTGTGTGTGTATGTGCTGTGTGTGTGTGTGTGTGTGTGTGTGTGTGTGTGTGTATGTGTGTGTGTGTGTGTGTGTGTGTGTGTGTGTGTGTGTGTGTGTGTGTGTGTGTGTGTGTGTGTGTGTGTGTGTGTGTGTGTGTGTGTGTGTGTGTGTGTGTGTGTGTATGTGTGTGTGTGTGTGTGTGTGTGTGTGTGTGTGTGTGTGTGTGTGTGTGTGTGTGTGTGTGTGTGTGTGTGTGTGTGTGTGTGTGTGTGTGTGTGTGTGTGTGTGTGTGTGTGTGTGTGTGTATGTGTGTGTGTGTGTATGTGTGTGTGTGTGTGTGTGTGTGTGTGTGTGTGTGTGTATGTGTGTGTGTGTGTCTGTGTATGTGTATGTATGTATGTGTATGTGCATTTAAGTATCCATGTATGCATTTACATATACATCAGGTATATATGCAGGTATACATGTTTTAAGGAAAGGATTTAATTTAAACCAACAGATACAAGAAAGACCACACCAGGTCAACCCTCACCCCTCCCCTCCAACCAAGCCCTTTGCTCACCGCATCTGGCGAGGCTCCCTTCTTGATGAGCTGCGCTGCGTAGGAGGTCTCCCCGAACTCTGTGCCCGTCTTCAAGGAGTACCATAGCACAGGGTACCCTGCTTTGTCCCGCAGCTCCAGACGCAGATTGTCGTGCTCGATCAGGGCACGGAAGATTTCCTCTCGCTCGCCCTCCACAGTCAGGTGCAGTACGGTCCTTGGGAGGGAGGAGAGAAAAAGAGGATGGGAGAGGATAGGAAAGGAGAGGAGAAGAAAGGGCAGGTAGGAGAGGAGGGGGAAGTGGGGTGAAGAAGAGGAGGGGGGAAGAGGGGGGAAGAGGAGAGAAGGAGGGGGAAGGAGAGGAGAGGGAAGAGGGGAGGGGGAAGAGGGGAGGGGGGAAGGAGGGGAGGAGAAGAAGAGAGGGGAAGAGTTGAGGAGGAGGAGAGGAGGCAGAAGAGGTGAGAAGGAGAGGAGGGGGAAGAGTTGAGAAGGAGAGGAGGAGATAATGGGGGAAAGGAGGAGAGAAGGTAAGACAAAATCATTAGGTATAAATTGTGATTTGCAACAATGATCTGTATAATTGCAATTTGAAACGGTGCTCTGTAACGGTGATCAGTGATGAGATTTTTGATGATGATCTGTGATGATCTATGATGGTGATCCGGTGGCAAGCACTGAAGAGTTTAATGGTATGTGGCAAGACACATATTTCTCAAGAAGGTTATGTGTGCCTGCCTGAGTGATAGCTTTTCTAGAATAAGTGAATAATTGGATCCATTACAGAATATACAAAATAATAATAAAATGAGATAAACACCTGAGTATATTTTGGGTTACAGCACTGCGGCGCAAACTCAAGTTTCTGACGGAGGTGAGGGCACCTCAATCTAATTACATATTTGCCGGCATGTGATCCTTATTCTTAAGCAAATACACACAAATAGGTAATAGGAATCAATGAATTGGATTTTCCAAGAGTGACTGTAAACAATTATGGTTGACAGAGTAACATTCTCCAAGCCTTCCCACCCCCTCCATCCGCCTCCCTGCCTTTTCTCCCCCCAAACCAAGATGCAATTGTCCTGCACTCATATCAAGATAAGGAAGAACCAGTCATTATGACATGAACGACACCATGCTCACTTCACATCCTTGATCATAATCATAAATTTATAAAATACCTATATCATGTATCACTATAATACCAATATAACCTGTGGCTTTATTGTTTTGATCTTATATTGAAATGCAGGACCACTCATCACTACAACAGTAAGAAATACTCATTCTCACTTCATATCCTTGTCCTGTATGTTGGGATCTGCGCCCTTCTCTATCATAGTCTGAGCCACCTTGACCATGTCCTCCCGGGTCTGCTGGTCGATGTAATTTTGGCTGACCAAGGTGTGCAGCGGGGTCCTGCCATCTCCAGGGGTTGCTACGTTCACCGAGCAACCGTGGTTCATCAGGAACGAAGCAGAGAATTCATCTCCTAGAAATAATAATGATAATAACAATCATATCAGCAATAATAATATTGATGATACTACTACTATTACTAACAATATTATGAATTGCTATCATAATAATAACAATGATAATAATAATAACAATAAAATAATAATAACAATAACAATAAAAA